ATGGCGAGATCTGGAGGCTGGAGGCCTAACAAAAAATAAAGACAGATTGGATGTTGACGTTTGCGTGCCCGCTCGAGGACGGCACGCCCTGCGCGCAGAATTCTCGAGGATGTCTCGAGCGAAACGCTTGTTTTGCAGAACTCGAGGGGCCTGGGCGCCCCAGGGTGCCCCAGTGGTTCTGGGAGTACGCACGCACCCCTCTTCACCGGGGATCGTGGCCACGGGAGCGCGGACACAGCGCAATCTACGAGGAGCCCCGGGAGCACAAACGCACCAATTTACAAGGGGTCTTGGCCCTGGGAACGCGAGTGTGGACGCACCGTGATTTACAAGGATTCGCGCCTTCGGGTCCAGCACCAGATCTTTAGGAACTGGCGGGAGGAGGGGGGCGGGGGGCGAAAAGCGCCACCCGAATACCGATCCCATTGCAGCAACACATGATTTCTGCTCTGGCGAGGGGGGGGCTCTTCTGGGCAACCTCCGCGGAGTGCTCCGTGGCTCTGGGAGCGCGGACGCAGCGTTAGTCACGAAACATCTTAGCCCTGGGAGCGCGCACGTGGTGTAACTCGGGGGGGATCGCCACCCTCGGGCACGTTCCCTGGCACGTTCCCTGGCGCCTCCCCTGGCACGTCCCCTGGCAAATCCTCTGGCACGTCCGCTGGCACGTTCCGTGGCGCGTCCCCCTGGCAGGTTCTGTGGCGCGTCCCGTGAGGCGTCCCCCTGGCACATCCCGCGGCGAATCTCCTGTCACGTCCCCTAGTACATCCTCTGGCACGTTCGGAGGCGCGTCCACTGGTATGTCACTGTGCGGCGCGGCACAGCGCAGATAAGCACAACACAGCCCCCGTCACGGTAGCATCACCATTGATATTGTCAGCATTGCCACTGCCCATCGCCCAATTGAGGTGCTTGGAAGCGTCCCCAGGCCTCGCAATCCCGATTCCCTTTTCGGTTCGTGGGTGGGTCATCTTCCCCTCCTCCATCGTCCCTCCATCCCCCCGTTTCTCCCCCCCCCTCCTCCCCTCCGCCCTCCTCCCTCCCCTTTCCCGTACTCCTGCTCAGGAAGCGCGGGAGAAGAGAGACGGCAAGGAGGAGGAGGAAGAGGAGGAGGAGGAGGAGGAGGAGGGATGGGAGAATGGGAAACGGGCGTCCTCCTCGCTACTGAGCCACGCCAAGCCGTCCTCGAAACGCTTCCGGGCGGCGTCGGCCAGGATCGCACGCTCCTCCCCGTGAGGAGGAAGGATGAGTGAGGGCGGAGGGGGGAGGAGGTAGGAGGGAGGACGATGAGAAGGAAGCTGGATGCGTGAAGACGAAAGCATGAGGGTTGTGGTGATGAGTGTGGGGGGTGAGGACACTGAGGAAGAATGAGGAATTCAGGAAGTGGGGAGCTTACTGCTTCCCTGAAACGTTTGCATGTCAAAAGCTGCCGCTCGCCTGATGGTGCAAGTGCCTTGCGCGCTCCCGTAAGCCTAGACGAGGGAGAAACAATAGTGAAGGAAGGAGGGCAGGGGAGGAAGCAGGGAGGGGGAGGTGGAGGACGATGACGAAAGTGAGGCGGACGGGGACGAGGACGAGGAAGATACGGAGGAACGAGAAAAAGGAACAATACAGGAAGGAAGATAACGAGAAAAGACGAGGACGGCGGACGAGGATGAGGAGGAAGAGGACGAGGAGAGGATGCGGAGGGGGGCAGGATGGGGAGACCAGGGGGAGGACGGGAGATGACGAACGACAGAAAGAGGTAGGCTTGAGCAGGAGTAAGATGAGGGGGGAGTGGGCAGTCTATATAGCAGGAGGACGTGGAGGCGGATCACGAGATCCACCCCGATGGCACGTGGAGCGGGGAGGGAAGGGAGGAGGGATGGAGCACGAGGAGAAGGGAGGAAGGAGGAAGGGACCATAATCAACCCACTATGATTTTACGACGCTGCAGCACACCCTCCCGTCCCAGGTCGCCTTCTCGGGAGTCTCTGGAAGCACTCACTCGTTCTTACGCGAAACGACCCATGAAAAGACGACCGCCTCATGGGCCCACAATTCAGGACGGAGGTCCGTTTTGAGGACTGCCCCGCCTCACCATGAAGAAATGGGTCCTGCACCCTCCAGGACCAATCTGATCCGCGGCATTAGTTGAAGCTCCCAGGGCCCCGAGAAGGAACCTGAGAGCCAAACACCAAAGACATGATCCGGGCGAAAGACCCAACCATATGCAACGGTGAGTACCGCATCCGTGGGTATCGTCTTCGGTGGAGCTCCCTATGGGGCCACGAAGGAGGTACGGGGTGGGGGAGACGCCTGCGAACACCGCCACTGGGGAATTCGGTGCAGCTCCCTATGGAGTCACGAAGCGCTGTTTTGAGTGCGGGGGAGACGCATGCGAGCACCGCCACTGGGGCCTTGAGTTGGGCTCCCTATGGGGCCACGGAGCGCTGTACTGGGTGGGGGAGACGCATGCGGATACCGCCGCTGTGGAATTCGGTGGAGCTCCCTATGAGGCCAC